TTGGCCTGCACGTTGTTTAGAGTTTGTTAAAATTAAAATGGCATGGAAGTGTAAATAAATAGCCTGTTCTGATGTGTGAGCATTACCAAAATTCTAAATCCTAGTTCTGGGATGCATTATAGCTGGTTGTTTCTAGATGTTTAAGGCTCCCCCTTAAGCTACTAGTTTCTTGGCATCTTTGAGACAATTTAGTGGCCTGATAGCTGATAACCTGCAACATGTTAAAGACTTGACACAAAACTTCCCAGTTTGGGTAGATGATTTGGGGTGGGAGTAACATTGCATTATAGTACCAAAGAAAATTGACAGCCATTAACATGGAGGCACATACTTTTTTTATTTTACAGTGTCTCATACTGGAGCTTCCATGTCCTCTGGCTCTTCAGACACTGGAATGAGCCCATCCTCACCCTCTCCTCCACAGAGTGTGCTTGCTGTTGAATGCAGGTGATACTGGTCATTATCTCTGCTTCATGCAGCAAATTGCTGCCATGGACAGAAATCCGAAAATCTCATAGAGAGCAACCCAGTTGGTTTGACATTGCCAAGTATATTGTGTATACTTTTCCACTGCTGGACTTGTCTGTCTCTACTCCTTTGTGCCCCTTCCTTTATTTTGTCCATATAGCTTTTTTTTAAAACAACACATTTTATTGTGGAGAATAATCTAATTGGCAACTAAAGATTTATGGGTGCACTTAAGACACCTCTGTCTTATGCTTTATTTTTTTTTAACTTTGCTTTAAACAGAAAAAGGGCACTTAATCTGATTTGAAAACACAGGTATTCAATGAAGCCTTGGGCATTGTAAAGAAACAGCTTTCTTTAAGTAAAAGAGTAAGTGCACCAAAAATGGCATCAAAATAAGTTAATCAGAAAATAATTACTGCTGCACTTTTTTCACTGAGCTATATCTTAATTCTGAGCGAGAGTCCCACTTTTATTTTTGTTTTGGAGATGCAGTTGCTTTGTACAGACCTGCCAAAGTAGGTACTCAGCATTGTGCCCAGTTTTAAAGGTGTAAATTGGACAAAATAAATTGTGAAAGGAAGCGTAGTTGACTGGAAACTACCGTCTTAATGAGTCTTCCACTTTTTATAGGATTTTTCGAGCACACGATTATGCAAATATTTTAATGTTTAATGTTTACAGTGGAATTGTGAATAGGTTTTCAGTGGACTATCTTATCCCTTGGCAAAAGTATTTTGTCTTTTCTATGTAATTTCAGAGTTTTTATTTTGTTACAAAAGGCAAAAAAATAAAATATATAACAATGAAGTTATTTAACAAAATTTCTAAAGCGGAATTTTTTGTGTAAAATAAGGTATCTTGTGACTTGTTAAATATATTTATTCAGACATTGGATGTTGTATTTTTATGTATTTTTTTAAAAAAGAATAAAATTGGGGAGAAAAATTCTAAGTTAGGCTCACTCATTCAATAAAAAATACTTCATTTAAGGAGCTCATATACACATGGCTTTATGTATCAGCCATACTGGTATATGGAGTCCTTTTGTCTGTTCAATCTTTCACAGTGTACAACTATAACCCGGCACCCTGTCTTGAAAACTTTGGCAGCCCTCGTACTTCTGTTGCTTCTGAGGAACAAATTTCTTGGGTTGCCCTTACAATACTTTGTCACAATTCTTCATTTGTTGCGTTACTGAAGTGAGTTATCTGCCAAAGTTGAGATGTAAAATGACTGTTTTGGCTGTGGATTGTTCCCACAGACTAAAAACAGTTTGTAAATAACTCCAGAAACCATGTATTTAAGACGGTTTGCATAGAATTGTATATAGTGATTTTTTTAATCAATTTTTAAAATTCATCTTTGTACAATGAAAAGGGGAGTTCTGCCTTTTTCCTTGTTAATATGCTGTAGAGTTATAACAGATTCTCTAGATTATCAGATTATTAAACATTCACAGTATCTGAAGGTCTCAAGTGGGAGACATGTAAAGGGGTCATTTACTTAAGGCCCAATGTCACCTGCAGTTCCATTTTACCATTTTGTCAACCTGTGATTCCAATTCCTTCCATTTTCATAGAGAACTAAAGAAAAAAGTACTCTTGTAAATGCACTTTTTCTGTCTTTTTCTTAAGCAGAGCTATTTCAATGTATGATACAAATTAAGCTCACTTGTGAGCATTAATAAAAGTTACATTTTTAAACTTAGGCCTTATTTTATTTTTTTACAGTAGTTGATTTTGTATATTTGCTGTCAAATCCAATCGTTACAAGAGGTATAGAATCATGATACATCGTGAGGACTATTTGATAGCATGGTGTTAATCTTCTCACACAGAGAATCATAAAAAGGATAGTACAGTACATTAGAAACTCCCAATCATCACATGGGTTAGGGTTAGATGATCAGTATTAAGGTGCTTGGCAACTGGTATGTGCTTATGATGGTTGCAGCAACTTGGGGCTCATGTGATTGCCATTTGTGACCTCCAAGAGGCTTCTGACAAGCAAAGTCAATGAGGGAAGCTGGATTTGCTTAAACAATCATATGATTTGCTTAACAACCACAGCAAAAAAATCAGTGCTGAAAACAGGCAAAACATCTGTCTATCTTCGATCCTTGGGAAGGATTCAATAGGTGGGTAAACTTGCCAAATCCAAACTTGTCTAATTATCTGGCTAGCTGAGCAAGTAACCACAATACAAACTGATAAAATCTTGCCTCATAACTACAAAGTATTTGGCTCATAACACACCAGATGTAACTGGTTGGAAAGAAGAAAGTGTGGATAATTAATATGGCAGTACCAGAAGATATACGGTAAGATAAAAAATTGGACAAGATCAGAAAATTTAAAAAATGCATAAACCAGCCATGGTGGTCCCAGTGGTTATCAGCACAATGGGTGCCATACCAAAAAATCTTGGACAGCACTTACAAAATAAACACATTGACAACATTTCAATACAAAAGGCCACACTACTTGAATCCCCACATATACTATGCCAATACATTATGACGGGTGTCAAACTGCCGCTTGCATCATAGAGGCCACACCCACTCCAGCAATGCAAAAAAAGTCACGACACATCACGTGACATGGTGAGTTTGACACCTGTGCATTATGATATCCTAGGTTCTTGGGAAGAATTTGATGCATGTAAAGCCCAGCACCTACTAAAGAACTGACAGCTGTGATTTCACAATATTGTGTGTATCCATCTTCAGTTTACTAAGGTGAGGGTCAGGCAGTCTAGTATTGGCAAGATCTTATTTCTGGTAGCACCTGTTCAATTTGAATTGCAGTATCTTTATGTCTATAAATACCTCTAAGCTACAAAGGCATTCTTAAAAAACTAGCGCAGAAGATAAATATCCATCTTCCCAGAAAAAAGACCACAGTAAGCTAAAGTAAGGATCATTATGAAAGCATAGAAAGCATGGCAAGAAGGAATCCCACCAGTTTACTGAATATGAATGAATGAAACAGACTGGCACACCGACCTTTGACAGTCATTTTGTGAATGCATGTTTCCCCTGTGCAGTCTTTTTAAATAAGCTCTTAAGATTCTAAATACACAACAGCCCCTAAAACTTCTGAAATCCTACTTACCTTTCTGTTGATAATTAAATTCATGGAATTATTTCACATTTTAAATTATCATTTTTAATTAAGACACATTCTCTTTTGCTAACGGTATATCCAAGTATCAATAATCTATCAACATCTACAATTGTGAACTTGCATGCAAAAGTGATAAAAAAAACGACTCGCAACAATGGATTGTTGACAAGTATAGGCAGTTAACATTTGAATTAGGTTTTTTTTAAATGAAGAGAATGTTTAAATAAGAGACTGTTGAGCAATCTGATTATATTCTCTTAAAAGTTTTGTTTATAATTTTTTTTAGCTCTGCTCTATCAACATTTTTTAATTTGGTATTATATTTTCCTAATTCTCTTTATATGTGAAGGGGCTTGTTTTTGTTAAATCAGCTACTACAATAAAAGCCCACCAGCATGGTAAAAGAACAAATATCTAGATTTACTTCAGTTAGGTAGCTCTTCTTTAAGGGGCTCTTCTTGTTTAGGAATTCTGTGTTGTAGTAACTGAATTGCTCACATAATTCCTGATACATGAGACAACAATGACTGGCTGTAAACGCATACATTTAAAATTTGTTAAGTAGGTGCACAGAATCCATTTAGATCAGAGTCCTGGTTTCAACATGGTAAGATTATTCAATAAAGTTTTCCTATTATTGCTGCCTATTTTCTGCCAAGCGAGTGGCCTTTGTACAAATTAACCCAGATAAAACACGTTTACAAACTCCACCCTGAGAAAAAAAAAACCAGTCAGTTATTACAGGATCAATTAAAAGCTGATGATTCCCTTCAGACAGTTGAAACTCACATACTTTGTGCAGGTGATGACAAGTAGATGATAGCCTAGGAAAAAAAAAAACCCGCCTAGGTTTGAAACTCGAGGGAAACAAGGAAAGATGCCGAGAAAAGGGGGACGGGAGCCACAAAAGTACGGTCCTAAAAATGCCTTTGGACAAGCTAAGGATTCTTGCTAAGAGAAATCGAGGGAGAAAACCCGTCCACTAAGTCACCAGAGGTCGGGACGACTATTTGACTCCTAACTAAGCGGACATAAGGAATAAAAACCGACTTTGCAGTCGGCAAGCGCAGTTTGTAAAAGTTCACTATCCTCCCCGGATCGGAGATGGGGGGAAGAGCCGCACATATTAATGGGCTTCTTTCTACCCTCGCTTTCGTAGACCGGGGCTGCGGGTTGGAATCCTTTTTATTGCTATATTCCTCCTAACGAAGCTCTCCGTGTCAACCAGCGGTAGAGCTACCTGTGATCGCAGCCCAGTAGCTGCTTCGCGGAAAGAGGGAAGGCCAGGCGAGGCAGTTCTGCATTTAGAAGCGTCGCCGAAGCCTCCCTCCCTCCTTTCTTTCCTTCAGACCTCTCCAGCAGTCAGGGAAAAGAGGACGCATCAGCGGGAGCGGCTGCCCAGCCATGGCATGCTGGTCGCGGAGCGTCCTGCTGTGGCTGCTGGCGGGTGCCTGTGGCCTGGCTTTGCTCGGCTATTGCGTCTACTTCGACCGAAAACGGCGGAACACCGCAGACTTCAAACGGAGGCTGAGAGAAAGTAAGTCCCGTGGGAGGGAGAGCGGCCGCCCCTGCAGTCTTTTCCCCGCCTTAGGAGAGAAGGCGTGGCCGGGCATGCCCTTGCTGGGAATGGCGGGGGGAGAAAAAAAACACCCGGGTTGTCCGAAAAGGGACAGGTGACCCGCGTCCTTTGGCAGGCTCTTTTAAGCTGGAGGAACCCCACGTTTCCGACCAGCCTGGCCGTAATTTCCCCAGCCCGGTGCTCTGCAAAGGCAGGGCCGATGATTTGGAGGGCAGTTCTGGGGGCGATGGAGGCAGCTTCACGTCTCTGGAAGGGAAGAGAGAGGTGGGGCGGGGAGCTGAACTATGCTTGAGCCCCTCCAATGGGTGAGTGAAGGAAAAGGTGAAATTAGCGCTATAAACTGAACTCCTCCCTTTCTGTCTAAATGGAGATTCTCAGTCATCCAGGTCATGGTTGTCCCAAAGGTGCTTTTTCAAAAGACAACTGGACTTCCTTCATTTTTCCTTGAAGACGTTTCGCTTCTCATCCAAGAAGCTTCTTCAGTTCTGAAATCCTTCTATTTCTCTACTTCCTTTGTCTTTCCCACATGGCAGTGATCCATAACAGCCCCTGTCCCCGTTATATACTGTATAAAAATAATAGTTATGTCATTGGAAAATAAGGACATCTTGCTTCTGTTGAGACATAAAGCAATAACTGAGTCCTTGGGCCATTACTCACATAGCCCATTATCTTCACACTCACAATGGCTAGTAGTTCACAAAACAAAAAACAGCCTAATTAGACCAATCTATAGATGCTTGGGATAAACCCTCATACTCTTTTAGGTATGGATGTATGTGAATTATATGCTCCTTTCCTCCAGAAGCTCAAGGTGACTTACATAGCATTCACAGTTTTTCCTTACATCCTTAGATGCTCTGCCTATACAGTATTTATTAATTCATTAATTTACCATTTCAGCCTACTTTTAAAAATCTGTTTGGTGATAAAAAGTGAACCTAATGGAATAGTATTACTATCAATGTTATTTCTTTATTATAAATATGTTTGGCATTTTATCACATTCAACTCTAGATATGTTTCCTTATATTTATATTGTGGGAAGTTAACCCAGAGAAGGAAATATTAAAAAGGCAGGAAAAAAATATTGTTCACCAAAAGGATTTTTAAAAGCATTTTTTTGAAAAGCAGAAACCAAACCTGGCCTCATCTCCTTGCCCAGGGCAGTAGCTGGTCTTATACATATGCGGATGTGGAACCATCAGAAAGTTTGGAGCCAGGGATCTCAAGACAAAAGAAGCTCTTAAGAGTCATTAGCCCCATCACCTGGGAAGCAGGATATGATAATGGGATTAAACCACAGATATCAAAGCCTAGAAAAACACTCAGAAATAGCCTCAAAGTTCATGCCACAGGAACAGGAAACTTCCAGGCAGGGCTAGAGGGTA